CTTTTAGTCCCTCTAGAGAGTTCATGTGTGAGACTTTGACGCATGTGATATACAGTGCTTTTTTCCCTGTTTCACTGAAAAGTTCCATTTCGGGAGTCTTGAAGGTAAGCAAAAACCCTTCCCTTTCTTGAAAAGCATTAAACGCTGGTGCAATTTTTAACTCTGGGAAAAAATCATCTATATCTTCATTTGATTCCTCCAATCCAGGTTTAAACTCCACTGGCAAACATTCAAAAAGCTCATTCAACAGTCTCTGTGTCAAGCGAATTGACCTCACACCCAGTTTAGTGGCCAGCATCTCAGCAGACATCCATTCATTTGTTGTTATTAAATGTCCAATCTTTGTTATTCCAGCATTTCTTAAAACAGTCCTCATTGTTGATGACTTCAAAATGTCTAAGTCCACAACAGGATTGTGCAACAGGGGTTCTTCTTTCTTCCAAAAGCCTTGCACATCCTGGAGATTCCTTGATGCATGTAATATTTCCCAGGCTTTCAACATGGATCGATAAAACGGTGTTAATCCAGACAAATCAACCCCTTGAATGTCCATCAAAAAGATATGTCGGTCTAGCCCCATACTGCCCGCTTTTCTTAGGAGGGCGCAGGCTACTCCAGCCCAGCTTACATTTTTCCCATAAAGCAGTCTTTTTGCTGTCTGAAGTCTAAAAGTCTTTATTCTGCTTTTAATGTCCACCAATCCTTGGCCTCCTTCTTGTTTGGGCAGATATAACACAGATGCTCTTAGCCAGTGCTGACCAGACCAGAAAAAATTTACCAGACGTTTTTGGACACTTTCCACCAATTCCTCAGGGGGGTCCAAGACAGTCATTTTATGCCATAAGGATGAGGCTACAAGATTGTTGCAGACCAAAACTCTTCCCCTGTACGATAGCTGGGGTAGCAGCCAATGCCAGTGAGACAACCGAGCACACACCTTTTCCAACAGGCCCTCCCAATTCTGTCTCTTATATTCCTCTCTTCCTAAGAATACCCCTAAATACTTTAACCCATCCCTTCTCCACTGTAATCTAGCTGGAAGTCTTGGACCATTATAACCCACTCCACACCACAGGGCATCACTTTTATCCCAATTTACTTTGGCGGATGAAGCTTTCCCATAACTCTCCAAAATATCTGTTAAAACTTGAACATCATGCCCATTTCTTAAAATCACAGTAATATCATCAGCATATGCTGAGATTTTAACACAATCATTACAGTTTGGAACACTTATCTGTAATCCCGTTAACTTTTCTCTCAATTTACAGAGGAGAGGCTCAATGACCAAACTATATAGTTGACCTGAGAGTGGGCATCCCTGTCTAATGCCTCTTTGTACTTTAACAGGAACACTTAGTCCACCCGCCATTTTTATCATACATGTGGCATTATTGTACAACAATTTGATCATAGCAACACATTTGTCTCCGAAACCAAAAGCCTTTAAAACACTGAAAAGAAACTGGTGATCAACTCGATCAAATGCCTTTTCTTGATCTAAAGATAAAATTCCTATGTCAACGTTATTTTTTAAAGCATAATCAATAACATCACGTAATAAATGCAAATTGTCAGAGATATATCTGTCTTTAATACAATAGGATTGATCTTTATGTATAATTCTGTGCATTATTTTGTTTAACCTGTTAGCCAAACACTTTGATATTAGTTTATATTCAGAACATAAAACTGCAACAGGTCTCCAGTTCTTTATTAAAGTAAGATCACCTTTCTTAGGAAGTAAGGTTAAAACTGCTCGTTGACAACTTTTAGGCATCAAACCTATACGAAAAACTTCTTTTAGTACTTCATAGAAGTCAGTTCCAAATAAAGTCCAGAAGTGCTTGTAAAACTCGCCAGGGAGGCCATCTATACCCGGGGTACGACCTGAGGCAAGTCCTGATACTGCAGCACTTAATTCCCCAAAAGTAAGTTCTGATTCCAAAGTTTGTTTATCTTCAGCGGTTAAACAGGGAAGGTTCTGTAAAAGTTCATTTTGGCTCCTCCCATCTGTGTTCTCAGCAGAATATAACTTAGAATAAAAATCCACTGCTAATCTTCGCATTTCTACGGGATCACTTGTCTCTTGACCATTACTGTTTTTCAAACTATACATTTTTTTTTCTTGTACACTTTTTTGTTCCAAGTTAAAAAAAAAAGAAGTAGGTCCATCCATATCTTTCAAAGATAAAAACCTGCTCCTCACAAGAGCACCCTTAACTTTTTCATTTAGAATAGAACTCAACTTTAATTTCTTGTCATTCCACTCTTGTAAATTAGCAGCAAGATCTCTCATCATGTTCTCTTCAATGACTAGAATTTCTTTCTCAATCCATTGCAAGGTTGATTTCAAACACAAAGTTGAGTAAGATGTATATTGTTGGCAAAATTCCCTTATATGCGTTTTACCAATTTCCCACCAAAGAATTACATTTTCATATCTACTTTTTTCACTTTTCCAAGTTTCCCAAAAATATTTGAAAGATTCACAAAAAAACTTGTCTTGCAGTAACTTTACATTAAAATGCCAATATGAATTCCTATTTCTTCTATGTATCAAAGTGCAGTCAACCGTAATAAGCTTGTGATCAGAAAAATATGTGGGGACAATAGCTGTATGTACAACTCTGTTTTTCATATTGTTTGATACATACAATCTATCTAAACGTGCCGCTGAAATTCTCCCCTCATTCACCTTTACCCAAGTATATTGTCTAATCAATGGATTCTTTTCTCTCCAACTATCAGTGAAGCTAAACGTTTCAAAAATATTAGCTAAAACAGTAGATGACAGAAAATTAGGTTCTTCTCCATTTCTATCAAAAGAAGGATTAAGAGTACAGTTCCAATCCCCTCCTAACATGATCAAATCATTAACCTGCTGTTGTTCTAAAAAAAACTTCAAAGTATTAAAAGTATTTATCCTATCAGATCCAGTATTAGGTGCATATATATTAACAAACACAAAAAACAGACCATTAATCTCAGCTCTAACAGCCAATATCCGCCCTGGCTCAATTTCTTTTTTGGACAGAATTCTAACTTTAGTGCTAGGAGAGAAAATTATCGCAGCTCCTGCACTCAGGTTAGTCCCATGAGTAAGAACACACTCACTCCTCCTCCACCACAGTCGCCAGTCAACCTCATTATTCACATCACTATGAGTTTCTTGCAGGAAAATCACATCTAAATTTTTTAACCTGATAAATTCTATGATAGTTTCAGCTTTCCTCCTATCCCTCATCCCATTAACATTCAAGGATCCCACCCGTAAAGTGTCCATTAGAAGAAGAGAGAAAAAGAAAGCAGACAAGAAGATAAACATATTACCCATAGTGATTAGTTAGATTTTTTTCCCCCCTTTTTTCCCTATTGTTTTACTTTTTTGTCGGATTGCAGTGATGTGTTTTTTTAATCTAAAACGCTTCTGCTGTGAAAGCTCTTCATAATTACTATGTCTCCTTGCCCACATGACAGATGTTATAAACTTCTCCAAGTCCGGAAAAAAATCACTTACTTCAACTTTTCTACCCTTTGTTTCGTCAAGAAATTCACTGATTTGAGCCACATTATACAAATCCTCTTTCAACACTTTTGACCCCTCTACTCCTTCCAACCATTGATCAACATCTTTCATGCTATCATCAGTACATTGAGACATTCCATCCATCTCATCTACTGAGCCTTCCTCTGCTTGTACATCTGTCTGAGTCACATTCTCACTGTTAACCACAACTTCATGAACTGAATGTTTGACCACAGCATAACTGCATCCAGCTTTCTCACCATCACCCTCACCATCATCGCTTTCACTCACCTCATTGTGCCCGATGACTCGCTCAGCAGGCCTTTTCACTGCCACTTGTTTTCGTGTGGTTGTATTTTCCACAATATCCGAACTTTCGTTATCTTTAGACGATCCGCTCTCCGTTGGATCGACAGGCAAACGCTGTTCGTTATCCTCTTTCTTGTGAGGGCAAGAGAAACGTTTGTGGCCTAAATTCCCACATTCGAAACACTTAAGGTTGTCGGTACTAGCGTACAACATATATGAACTTGCTCCATGACTCACACGGAACGAGATCTCTAACGTGCGCTCAGGAGAAGTGAGAAACATTAAAACCTGCCGCCTAAAAGAAAGAACGTGTTTCAATGCCGCGTTTTTACATCCCAGCGGGATCATTCTAACTGGACTTGCAATTTTTCCATATCTAGTTAACTCCTTAGTAATGGCATCATTTGAAATGAAAGGTGGAATATTTGAAATTGTTACTTTAGTGGCCGGAGCCGCTAAAGGAGTCACGGGCACAAAACTTTCACTAATCCAGATCCCGCTCTCTGTCAGCTGATTCACTAACTGCTCCGATTTTAAAAACACTACGATCGCCTTGTTCATTCGTGATGCTGAGAGAATATTCTCAAAACCGATCAATCCTCCCACCACCACGAGTACATCCTCCACGCTAACGCCGAGCTCGGGCACACACCTGCACCCATTTCGCATCGACACGTGAGGGTTTACCTGTGCAGGGTCTGATGCCATACCGTCACGCGACAAAGCCGCGAGCGGCGAAAAGTACAGAAAAAAAAAGTTCACTAGAAAAAACTAAATTAACCACACACACAAAAAAAAAAAGGGGGGAAAAACAAGAAAAGAAAAAGTTGAAAAAGAACAGTATCTTTCGCTCGCTCAAGCAACACGCTCCACTCTTCCACCCACACTCGCACATGCGCAGAGAGAGAGAGAGAGAGAGAGAGAGAGAGAGAGAGAGAGAGAGAGAGAAATGAAGAAAATAAGAGACTCTTTATTCTGTAAAGTCACATCATCTTCATTATCAAATAAAACAGACAGAGGAAGAGAGATCTTCATCTTTATTTCACCGGATCACAAAATACTAAGGTGAAAATGTTTGTACAAATATAATGTTAATGTGTTCTAGTTTAAACAGTTGAAGTGATTTTAAGCATTTTGATTCTTGTATGTGAATGTGACTGACCTCAATCTCTCCAGTTTACAGTGTGAATCCTTCAGTACGGCACATAAGCGCTTCACTCCTGTGTTTCCTAGATTATTCCCGATCAGGTCCAGCTCTCTCAGGTGTGACGGGTTTGATTTCAGAGCTGAAGTCAGGATGAGACTCTGTTTCTCTGTAATTCTGCATCCACACAGACTGAAGACAGAGAAATAACAATAGTTCACATCTATGATGATCATCTTATTGAAGAGCTACAGCAGCATTTAGTTTCCAATAGTCTGTTTTAAAACCCAGTCACACTAGTTCTGTGCGCTGGAAGACACTGTTTCTTCTCTTTCATTTTTAAAAAGACTTATCTCTTATTTATTCTCTGTAGAAAAGGCACATTTCTGTATGTACACAATCAGTACATTGTATCAGATGTTGGGAATTAAACAATTACTATCTAGATAAAAAAACACATAAAAATGTGAGCAATAGGGAAACCCAGAAAGTGCACTGCTATAACCAATGAAACATAAGCCCTGCTGTCTTCAAATAAATAAACTTCAGTCACACTGTAATTGCTGTACAGTATAATGACACTAACTGTAGTTTCTCCAGCTTAAATTGTGGGTTCATCAGTAGATCACTGAGGTTTTTCACTCCAGAGTCTCCTAGTTTATTCCTGCTCAGGTCCAGCTCTCTCAGGTGTGACGGGTTTGATTTCAGAGCTGAAGTCACATCAGAACAACCTTCATCTGTCATATCACAGCAGCTTAACCTACATTAGCAGAGAGAGAGAGAGAGAGAGAGAGAGAGAGAGAGAGAGAGAGAGAGAGAGAGAGAGAGAGAGAGAGAGAGAGAGAGAGAGAGAGAGAGAGAGAGAGAGAATGAAGAAAATAAGAGACTCTTTATTCCAGTAGCTAGGGCTGTCAAATTTAGTCGATGCCGTCTTGGTCGACTGACATTCTTATTGGTTGACCAGTTGCATTTTTTTTTTTTACCAATAGAAAGAAATTTTCAATGATTTACTCCTTGATATTTATTCCTTTATAAGCAGTTATATATTACTGCATTCTAAATATAATTAGCCTATGGTTTATCCCCAACTTTAAATGCTTTAATTTAGGCTATTTTGTAACAGCGCCACAGTTTAGCGCACACACATAGAACACTCGGTTCGCACGGCTGGCTGCACTGCTGCTTCATGCTCAGTAAGGGATAGGTAGTTCAGCTGTATTCATTCAGTTAGAACGCTACTTGTTTCGGTTTTTTTACACTATATCAGGTCCGTAGCCAGCCTATTGAAAGGGGGGGTTCTTTTTTTCAAAAAGTGGACATTTTTGCAGTTTTTTTCCTCCTTTTGTATTTAATTATGAGGTTCAAATACTTAATTTTGGTGACCTTTTATGCACTAATTTGTGCTGGATTAGCTTGTCTGCTGGTTAATGAGCACGCTTTTTGATGCACCTAAAATATTTTATTATTATAATTACTCTACGTTTATATGGCTATTATATTGTAGTCTATTGAGTGGACAAAATATAGAAATCCTTTTAATAAAAATAAAAAATACATATACAGTATATATATAATATATATATAACTCCTCCCCCAGGTGAGAATGATATTACCCCTCTAGGGGGGTCTGGGGGCATGCTCCCCCGTGAGAAAATTTTAAATATTCCATATTTTAAAGCATCAATCTGATGCATTTTGAGATGCATTTTTTGCCGTCTATCTATAAAATAGTTTATTGAGCCTTTTCTTTTAACAGTTTTAAATGTCAGTTACTGTGCGCGTGAAGAATGATAGTGCTCTCCTGTGTTCTAACAAAGGAACATGGTTAAGATACAGCAATGCAGTCCAGCAATATAGTCATTTTATGCGAAACCATAGAGCTTTATCTACAGATCAAGTATAGCCTAATAATAGTAACAGTGAATCATCTTGGAGGGAGTTTCATCATGTTGACTGTCGTAACCGAACGCAACGCGCTGTTTGAACGCTGAATGGAGAATGAATGACAGACAGCCGCAGCAGACGGAAACGTTTGCGTGAACTTGAATTTAATAACTTAAAAGTTAATTTGATTGTTTTTGTCGATTGATTTCATAAATCAGATTTATTACTTGTCCTAAACTACAACGAGTAAGATCATTCCCCGGAATCGATTCCAACCATTGCATTTTGAACCTTTGGAATCGACTCTCAATTTCCAACGCCTCGGAATCGATTCTTTTTGGACTCGATCCCCAGCCCTATCATTCAGATGCGATGCTTCTTCACCGTTGGTTTGAAAAGTGTATTGCGAGAACTCTCTCTGAACTGCACGCGCGGCGCACACACACACGTCCAGCTACACAATAATCATATTAATTTGAAACAGCAACCAAGAATATTTGTCACAAGCACTGATTAAAACAATGATGACAATAATCACATAAACATTTTTTTTTTTTTAACGACTTAAATTCTGGACCTTTGGCAGTGAGGGGGGTTCGTTCGAACCACCCGAACCCCCCCTGCCTACGGGCTTGTATATGTTTTTATCTCGATGCGGCGTGGAAAAAAAGAGCGCGTCGCACCGCGACCGCGTTGCTTCCATCATGAGCGCGCACACCGCGCGCCTACATTTGAAATCGAACTTGAGCGCGCAAAAGACGTGAGCAGTCCCTTTAACGGCTTTATCATGCTGACTCAATAGATTGTGTTTTCTTGATATGTTTTTGTTTTTATTTGTACACTTGACACATTTGAAAATAGCCTAAATAATGTAACAAAACGAAAATAAACCTATATGCGGTCCTACAATACAGCCTATTATTATTAGGATTGTTTTTAGGCTCTTTGGTTTTTTTTGTGTGTTTGTTTTAAAACTCCTAGATCGGCTGGACAAAAGTTAACCCATAGCTTTGAAAGTAAAGAAGAATACAGCCTGTATAAACGAGAGCTTTTGTTAGGATTTTTCATTGTAGCAGATAGCAGTTATATTTTTTTGTAGCGTGTGGTGTGGTCAGGTGCGCGATTGTGACTGTTACAGACAGTGCACCTCACTTTTTGCAGTTAAAAAAAAAATCACTTAATTTTCAAAGAATTGTATTATTATTATAGTTTTAGGTATTTTTTATGTTTTTTCGTTGTTGTTTTATAAATGCTCTATGACAATTGTTAAAAATTTTTAAATCAAAACATCGCGTTTTTTTTTTGTTTTTTTTTTTAGTCGACTAATCACTGCGCAGGACTACAGCCCTACCAGTAGCACCTCACTGCAGACACGAGATCCAGGGGGCGGAGTTGGATCCAGATTTAAGGGGTGGAGATTGGTAGGTTAAGGGGTGGGTTTAAGGATCAGGGGGTGGAGATGGGTAGGTTTAGGTATATGTAAGGTGGGAGGAGTTGGATCTGGATCCAACTCCTCCCCCTGGATTTCGTGTTCTGCAGTGAGGACCATCTCCTTTATTCTGTAAAGTCACATCATCTTCGTAAGCATTATTTGACCACATCACAAAATACTACGGTGAAAATGTTTGCAGAAATATAATGTGAATTTAGACACATTGTGAGATATTGAGTATAAAGTGTTTTAGTTTAAACTTTTGATTCTTGTATACGTATGTATCAGTGACGAGTCGTGCATTTCACACCTAGGCCTTCAGTGATGTCCAAACTGAATTAATAACTTTAAATAGTGTAGCTAGCAGCGCATATACTCTCTATATTTGTTGTGAAATTGCTGTTTTTATTTTGCACCGGCAGTTATTGGGTTAATGCGGAGAGTTCGGGAAAGGCCGAGAGAAACGAGCGAGTGAGTTCGGCTTGTGCGTTTGTGTTCAGTGGTTCTTGCGTTCTGATTATAAGTTCAGAAACGGAGCCGCCCTTGTCTTGTCCTTCAAGGGTTACAATAGTCCCTTGTTAGACATTACAATAGTATAACAACAGTAGAATAAAAAAAGAAGTTTCCATCATAAATTTACAAGAAAAATGAAGAAGAAAATCATATTCACCACGGAAAAAACGGGGGCAAAAAATTCATTATACTCACCAAAACTACTGATTATTTTATACACAAAATCCATCCTAATTTCTTTCCTCAAAAAGACTTCAATTACTTGGTTGTACATGTTATCTGTGCATTTCAGTCCCAACAACCTTTTCTATCGCCATCGAGGCTAATGCTGAAAGTGGAGTGTGTCCGTCGTATTTCTGGCATGAGTTTGAATTGGCTTTAGTGCAGAGAGTGTCTGCTCGACAGAAGCAGTAAACAGGGACAGTCTCCGCGACACATGCCGATGTGTACAGCTGACCCATGCTCTCACACCGATGTTTGAAGGAAATCAATGAGATCAGCGGGACGTTTGCCTTCATAATCAGTCATGGCATACATTACAGTCAGTTCATTCTGTTCTTATCCGGGACAGATCGAATAGCGTTCCGTGACTCTGCGTTAAGCTGGATAAGGCTGAATAAGGGATTTTTTCTATTAAATCTACAGGAATATATTTTAGTTTATGCAGTTCGCTACAGATGCGGGTAGCTAGCTCTGACCAAAGGCTCTGACTAATAGTAATAGTACACGCTCTGACCATCCAATCAAAGGACGTGAAAATGCAGACGTTATTGTATGCCTGCTAGATGGCCCCGCTGCAGTCAAATCGAAATCTGATTGGCTGATTAAATCTGACTGATTATCTGATTGGTTAAAGCAACAGTTTCATTGCCATTCATTTAAGCTACAGGCGCCCGCTCTATTGATTCTGAAGGCATCAAGGCAGATTTCGTTGGCCATGACAACACATGATGGCTGAAATATGATTGGATAAAAGCTCTAACATAAACATACACTACTGGAAGCAGTGCAAACAAGAGAAAAGCTATGAAATTAAGAGAATGGACTATTGGGAATCATTTAATACTCATTCATGGAAAAAATATATTAAAGTGCAAGGCCTTGCTGACCCTGACGGCACACCACTGGTATCAGTGTTGGGGAAAGTTACTTTTAAAAGTAATGCATTACAATATTTAGTTACTCCCCCAAAAAGTAACTAATTGCGTTACTTAGTTACTTTTTATGGAAAGTAATGTGTTACGTTACTTTTGCGTTACTTTTTCTTACCTGGCTGAGGCTTGATCTCTCTCAGGTCTTACAGGTGTTTTTTCGACTGAGAAGTTATTGTACTAGTGTTTAAAGCAGTAATATATTCAACAAC